GCTGAGCTTTACCTGGTTTTGGGGTGTTTCTACGGTTTGGGACAGGTGGGGGAACGGTTCCCTTGCCCCGGAGCTGAGGCTGGTGGGGCTGTGCCTCTGCAGGTGCTTGGTAGGGGTGACAGCAGAGGTCCCTGCTCGGGGCAGGGTGACGGCCATGCCAGAGCTCTCTGTGTGTGTCCGTGTAGGGCTGCGAGCGGGGAGAGCCCAGCCAAGCGCTGGCAGGGTCCCGGGGAGCAGAGATGCACCGTCATTGCCCATGGCTGGGGACAAGCCAGAGGGACCCACAAGGCCAGCAGCTCTCTGTGCACGGTGCCAGCTGCTGTGCTGGCTCCTGTCACCAGCCTGGCAGAGCAGGTTTGGGGTGAGGATGCTGCAGTCCTCAGCAGAGCAATGTGTTTCCTTTTTGTGGTCCCCCGTGTCTGCATCTGACAGCCAGCAGGACCCTCTTGGCTTCCCTCCCTGTCCTTGGCCCTGGGTTCTTCCTCCCTGGGGTTATTTTGCAGCACTGCTTCTGGCTGCAGAAACACAGGAGCAGGGGGAGCCCCTTCACCCCAGCTGTTGCAGGGCAGGACAGCTTTTTCAGCCTCTTTCTTGCAGCTGAGACCCAGCGCTGACTGTTCCTTCAGACTTGCCAGTCACCAGCTCCAGCACCTCTTCCCTTGTCTCCACATGCATTTGTGAGTGGAAAGTCCCCATCACATGGCGATGCCATCTGGTCATCTCCCAGCATCAAGGCATCTGCAGCAGGCAGGGAAACACCGGGAGAGGCTTGAGCAGTGAGGATGTCTGCACATGCTGTAGCCAGGCATGGCAAGCTGACCTTTACTTTGATGTGAGCAGCAGCCAGGGCTGGTGAGCATCAGGCTTCACTGCAGAACAAGTATAGTTCTTTGATGTGAGTGGGCTTGTGCAGCACATCAAGCCATGGCTGGCTCGTGACCATCTCTTACTAACCCCTTCCACCCTCAAAAAGAGCCCTGGAATGACAGGCTCAGTGAACCCTCCAGCATGTGTTGCCATGGGATGCCTGAAAATTCAAACTATTTCTCACAGACGAGACATCTGTGACCTGTGGAGAGGGATCGTGCTTTGGCACTGGCTTCTTTAACCCATCCTCCTATAGCAGGAGCTGGTTGGTTGCCTGGAATCAGTAGATTCAGACCAAAAATAACGTGGTTATTCTGGTACATCTTCCAAAAAGCTGTATCTTCTCTGGTACCTCTTCCTAAAGCTGTCCTGCTGAGCAACTGTTGCCTCAAAGCTGGCTTGGTTTGGTTTTCCTAAAGGCTCTACTCATTGGAAGCAGACGTTAATTCAGGGAACAGCGGGGATTTGCATTACTGAGGGGCTAAGCTAGATCATGTGACGTGGGAGAAGGGATAGAAGACTCTCAGCATGCACTGCTGCTTCTGTCCAGCTGCAGGGACTTCTGTTGCTCTCACTAATACCCTAATTCTTGTGGGATCATGCCCTTAAGCTGTGACTGTCTGTATCTAATGGAAAAGCAGTTTGTGCTAAGGGGAGGGAAAGGAGGGAGAGGCTGCAGAGGCCTCATGGAGCAGAGGATGCTGGACTATGCCCTGACAGTTTGCTCAGTGCCTTGGCAGCTTTTTAACCTTGTTAAATGCATGGTGCAGACCTCTAAACATACCTGAAAATTCATTCCTCTTCCTGCTTAGTGGTCCCTCCTCACTGACCACCAGACTGCATGTCACAAGCCCACCACTCCATGGAGATGTGAGGACGTGGCTCCCAGCAGGTCAGAGTTGCCCAGCAGCAGTGGTTTCAAATCAAGTTTCAGCTGTTTCTGTCCTTCTCCTTCCGCCAGCTCCATTCCTGTCACCAGTCACAGGGTGTGCAGCAGAGCCCATCCAGAGTGGTGGGATCTCCTTCTGGACCTCCATTCCTCCAGGAACCAAGCAAAACTGATGAACTGGAAACAGAAGGAATTTGACTCTTTTTTTACTATTTTTTTTCAGTAAATTAGTGCCTGGCAGTGCTGGCTACCCACTGCAGTGCCTGAAGTTCCAGATCTTTTCTGGAAGATGCTTTTCAGCTATCTTGTATTTAAAGATTCATGACTAAAATAGTGACTTAGGTCAGGGCCATGACTTTGGGGTTCAAATAGATATTTGTTCTCTGTGATCTTGTAGCTGCCTGCTCCAGGCCTTTTTTCCCAGGCAAACACCAAGTTGGATAACTAAAACTCTGAATCCTTTTTCAGGGTCTAAACCACTTCCACAAGCAATTTTTTTTTTTAAAAGAGCTGGTGAAGGTGGAAGTGACCCCCATGCTTGGGGGATCCCCCTGCTCCTAGGTCACTTCAAACCAGAGCAGTTTTCCATCACATTTTCCCAATCCATGCTCTTGTCAGTTGTTGTCACTGGTGACCCAGGCATCGCCCCAGGCATCACTCACCTCTTGCACATCCGTGTTCACCTGCACAGGTTGTGTGGGAGAAGCTGTGTGGTGTTGCCCAGGTCTGCGTTACCCTTTGGACAACTGCTGCCATCCTGTCCCCCTGGAGAGCTCCTAGCTGAGTGCAAGTGTTCCCATAGTGTGAGAAGGTCAAGGAAGGCGGGCTGGGGTGTGAAGTCCAGTATTGGTTAAGGAGGTACTCATCTACTTGTTTGGCACTTGTGAGGCTACAGCTGGATACTGGGACCGGTTTGGCACTTGCCAGTGCAAGAAAGGCATGTGCACCCTGGAGTGACTCCGGCAGGGGCCATCAGGGTAGTCAGGGGGACACAGAATTGCAGTCAAGGACAAGGACCTGTATAAGTAGTAGGTTCTTCATCCTTGAAGCTACTCAGATTTTGACCGAAGAAGAGTTTGGAACAGAGACCCCCAGAGGTCCATTCCCACCCCAGCTATCCAGGGGGCTTACTGGAGACTGCCAGAGGGATGCAAGACTCCAAATCTTTTAATGTTTCTCAGTGTTTCATGATACCAGGTCTGATGTACCTGCTGTACATGACAAAGAAACAAGGCCCTTCCCTAAGCTGTGATCTCTGTATCATGGTGTGCTTCCCTCCATCCTCCAACTGCATTTACAGAGTAACTGAAATCTTGGTTTTAAAAACTGCCACCAGTAAGTGGACAACGTTTTTGGGTGGTGCTGCCAGTTCCCAGTATGAACTGGGAGATGATTATTTTCCTTTGGAAAATGTAAGTGGCAGATTCAAAACAGACTTGAGTAAAAGTATGGTTTTTCATAACTAAAAGAAAGAAACCACCAGAGCCAGTGCCCACTTGGAGCTTGTTTCTGTGTTGCAGGGCAGGGAAACAGCCTCCTTGCTCTTCCCTGCTGCACAGGTCCTTTGCACCAAGCAGATGTTTTTCCTTCATTAATGGAGAAGTTTGTCTGACCTCTTTGTTTCCCCTTTTTAGGCCATGAGCCCGGACTTGTGCAGCTGGTGAACTACTACAGGGGAGCAGACAAGCTGTGCCGCAAAGCATCACTGGTGAAGTAAGAAATTCATTACATGGGATTGTCAAAAAAGTTTCTTGTATCTGTGGTCAAGTGTTTGACCTGTTCAGAGGGTGTTTTACAGAACAGCTGCCCTGGGAGTGTCTGAGCATGTGCTGTCTCCAGACTCCTGTGTTGGTCTCCAGAGCTATCTGTGTGCACAAAAAGCTTTTTGTAACTTCAAGGGAAATGCTGTTTCCACTGAATTACATCTGCTTGAAAACATAGAGTGTATTGAATCAGATTAGAGCCAAATCAAAAGAAAAAACCAAACAAACAACATATCTGCTCTTTTTCCCTGTAGACATTTAATTAAAACCTACTCCTTTTATTCTCTGTTTCATACAGAGATGGGACACTAATATGCCTTTAGCTAATCAGATTTGTTGCTCAAACAAATGCTTGGAGACATCTCCAGGAAGAGCTCTGGGAGTTATTTCTGCATGACCAGCCATGCCAGGGTCTCCTGGGGAAATGTGGATGAGCTTTCATTGTAGATAAACCTTGTCCCTCTGCAAACTCTGCAGCCATTAGGGTGTCCTCATGTCAGAGCTCTCTGTCTCCTTCAAGCATTTGATGCCACGTTGGTGTCTGTGCTGCCTCTTGCTGATGCAGTCCTGCAGCCTGTGTGTGCTGATCCGAGGCCTCTCCTTCCCTCCTGTGCAGAACCTGGTCCCAGCTGCTTTCTTTGCAGTGGTGATGGTGCTTGTCAGGAGCTAGCAGGAGTATTTTTTAAACAAGCATTCGAGGCGCTCCCCAGCTGGCTTTCTCCATGTCCTGTGGTCTAGAGGCAGTGCTGAAGGTGCTTGCACATCTCTTTTTCTCCCTGAAGCTTGGCTGGCCTTTCTAACTGTGGGGTCAACCATGCATCAAGCTACCTATGAACCCAAGGGACCACAAGTCACTGACTGACTGCCATTTCAACAGAGAGATGCACTTGCATGCTCAGCAAGTCATAAGATCTGCTTTTGGCCTTAAGCAACGCGCAGGGTGAGCATTCGAAGAGGCAGACAGCTCTCTTGGCTCTGAAAGAAAGCAGACCTGGGCTCCTGCTGGCATCTGTAGACATTACTGGTAGGGGAGATGAGGCAGAGAGATCGGAGATTGCATGATGCCAGGTGGATCCCAGACATCTTGGGACATGAAATGTGTAGCTGTGTCCTTGCTTTCAGTGGGTTCCTGATGGACTTCATCCATAACTGGGACACCTGGTCAGGTGTCACCAGAGATGGGATCAAGAGCTGAGGACCGGCACAGAGAATATTACTGCTCAGGTTCCCCCTTTTGCCTGTTGTGATCACAGCAGCCTTCCTGCCCTGTTCCATGTTAGCAAACACACCTCCTCGCTTCCCTCGTGCAGAGATGATGCAAGGAATCGGGGAATCGTAGAATGCTTTGGGTTGGAAGGGACCTTTAAATGTCATCTAGTCCAACCCGTGAGCAGGGACATCTTCAACTAGATCAGGTCTGGTTATGTGGAAACTTATTTACTGGTTGTATCTACAAAATGTTTAATGAAAGTGTGCAGGTCTGGTTCAAAGAGTAGTGCTTGGCTGGAGTTTGGGGTTGCTGTGATCTCTAGGAAAACCCTAATTTCAAAGGTCTAAGGAAAATATAAGAGTTTAGCACAGACTGTCTGTAAGCTGCTATTCGTCACCGGGCAAAAGAGCCCAGTTAATGATGATTTTTACTTATTAAATGATGTCCATGCAGGTGGGGACACTCTGGAGATTAACAGCCTGTCTCTCTTCACCCAGGCTAATCAAGACAAGCCCTGAACTATCCGAGTCCTGCACGTGGTTCCCTGAGTCGTATGTGATTTACCCAACAAACCTGAAGACCCCTGTGGCTCCAGCACAGAATGGAATTCGCCATCTCATAAACAACTCAAGGACAGATGAGCGGGAAGTCTTCTTGGCAGCTTACAACAGGCGGCAGGAAGGCAAAGAAGGCAACGTGTGGATCGCCAAGTCCTCAGCTGGTGCCAAAGGTGCGTTCTCCAGCAAAACAAGCCACCCTCGCCTTATCCCTTACTCTTTACTTAAACGGTAGAGTCCCGGGGTTTGACTGTGCACAGCTGATAGGTAGCCCCTTTATGAAGGGCTTCACCTACCAACTCCATGCCAGTCAAGCCAGCACAAGCCTCTCTTTTGCTTGGTGGAATGGGGCTCCTGACAAGCATTGTAACATGCATGTGCTACCTGGGAGATGGATGGCAGTGAAAGGACCTCCACTTTTCCATATATGTGCCGCAAAATATGGGAGAGTTTGCTGCAGGGAGAAGGCAGCAGGGAGCAGGCTGCAGGGAATGGAGAGAGCAGGAGATAGCAGGGAGCAGAACAGGACGTGGGGCGGAGGGCAACTGGCCGGACAGCAGCTTTCAAGGGCAAGGAGCCCAGCTCTCCATGCTGCAGCTAAGCCTGGTTTCACCTGGGCAGAAACAGCGCTGCTTGTCTTTCGACCCAGCCCAGATGCCTGGTGGCAGTGGCCTCACCATGGTCATGCTGAGAGTCTGGCTGAGCAGCCATGAGCTCAGTGTGTCAAAATTACACCTGAGCTTCAAGGGAAGGTACCAGAGCAAAGACAAGCATTGCAATGTCTGTGTGTCCCTTTAACTTGAATAAGGCAGTAGATACCGAAGTGGTAACATGTCCTTCCTTGTTCAAGGGCCGTGGCATCACTCCCTCTACAGAAATAATGAGCTATTAGCCGAGATAGCTGGACCCAGCTATAGATGCCACGCTCCAGTAGCTCTGTGCTGTCTGGCAGTTACAGCAGTGTCACAGGCACGTTATCAGAATGGCTTTATGAAAACATGCAGAGCCCAGCCTGAGGAAGGACCTCGTCTTTTCAAAGGGAACGAACCCACATGTGTTACTCATATTTGCAGAGTCACTTTTGATGCAGTCTTACAAAAATTATCAGAGAATGTGAAAGGCAGAGGTAGTTGCAGGGAGGCCGGATGATAAAGCATCCTTTGTGCTGGCTTCCTTCTCTGCTCTGCGCTCTAGGCTGTGTTACCGAGAAGCATTAGAAGAGCATGCTTATTTTCATCAGGGAGGAAGGGGAGACGAGTCCTTTTGTTATGCCAGTGAGGGAATGCATTTCTGTGTGGTATAACTCTGGCAAGAATTGAAAAGGCCTTTGCTGTGGTTTGCTGCAGGATAAGGGAGGTTTGAACTCTCCACATACTTTATTCAAGTGTGATCCCATCTTTTCTGCATTAAAGCAGAGGAACCTTTCGTAGTCATTGGTGTGCTGCAGAACTCAAGCTGGGAATTAAGGTGGAAAGCAGAGCCTCATGTTAATCTTCTAGAGGAAGTCTTAAATGTCTGGGGATTACTTCTGATGAAGAAGAAAGCTTGTCAACATTAATTGCCAAGGCGGATCCAGCTCAGACACAGCCCCTGACTCGGGACAGGTCTAGTGGAAGCTCGGTTGTCCATCAGTAAAAGGAACATTAAAGGTTTAGGATGTCCTGATGTAAAAGTTGAGAGATTTTTCCACTGTGGCTAGAGGTTTTGATGTTTTCTTTGACAGAAGGAACAGCTGCCCCCCATAAGCTGCTTTGCTGAACAAGTGCCTGCTGATCTCCCCACTCCAGGGGCTCTGCTGCCTTACAGAGTTGTTGTTCCCTCCCTCCCCTGGTTGTACTAGTGCAAGTTTCTGCCTGGCTCTGCTGTGATCAGGGGACTAAACATCTTTCCCCCTGCATAAAACATGGGTGAGAAAGATACTTTGATGGAGTGAATTCCTTTTGGTGGGTGCTGGGGTGGGTAGGGGTTCAGAGGGGATGGGAAGCTGTAACTCACAGGTATGCAAAGCACCTGCAGGGCTGTGTCCACAGCGACCTTCAGAAGTCCCAGCCAGGAGCATTTTCCATGGGATGAACCTGTCAAACCCTGCCTGTGCTCCAAACCTGTGCTCTCCCCTCAATGTCCCCTTGAAGAGGGGGATTTGTTTCTTTTCACTCAGTATTTCCTACAAAACACTCAGCACAAAATTAAGGCCAAGTCATCAGCTTTAGTCCAAAAAGTTAACTAAATGCCTGAAGGCTGGACATAGTGCCAGAGAAGTGTTAGATAGTTTTACCTGAGCTGGTTTATCCCTCATGTGGCACTGTGCCACCCCTTTACCAGATCCCAGAAGGGATATGTTCTCTCTTCATTGCTCTGCAACAGTGGTTTCATATCCAGACACTTGCAAGAAATGAACAGCTTCAGCCAGAATCTGGCAGTATTTAAATGGCACATCTAACTTCTTTAACAAAGAGCTTCCACGGCAGGGGAAAACACTGACTACATGGATGAACATTTTGAAATAGTTCTTAGTTTCTAATTCAGCAATTATTTTAGTAGTAACTTAAATGAACTCAGTGAGCAGGACAATGCTGCAGAAGTATGTGTGTGACTGCCTTGGGCAGCCAGAGAAGCCAGGTAGGGGGAGAAGGTCTCAATCTAGGATAAAAAAAACACAGACCTACCTCTCCAAAAAAAAAAAAAGAAAAATCTCACAAGTGAACTGCCAAAACTGCTGTTCTCCAAACTGCTGAAAAACAGGGAAAAACAAAACAAAATCCAAAAAATGCTGAATATGTGTGCCACCCTGTTGCCAAGCATAATGGGGAGATCCCTCCACAGAGTCACTGCCTGGCACCAAGCGAACGTGGCATCACTTGGGCACCCACCAGCCCTGGGTTGTTGCATGGCTTTTTGGGCAAGTGAGGCGTGATCCACTTGGGCCCTGAAAAAAGCTCTGGGCAAAGGTAGGAGGATCCTCCACCTGATTCTGTCTTTGTCTTTCCATGCCAGGGGAGGGGATCCTGATTTCCTCGGAGGCTGCAGAGCTCCTGGACTTCATTGATGAGCAGGGACAAGTGCATGTGATTCAGAAATACCTGGAGAAGCCTCTGCTTTTAGAGCCAGGGCATCGCAAGTTTGACATCAGGTAACCTTTTCTGCTTTTGTAATAATGCCAGTTTTCATTTTCCTGCTGTTTCTTTTGAAGTCACTGAGACTAGAGTTTGTTCTCTCACCCTCCAGGAGCTGGGTTCTCGTGGATCATCTATATAATATCTACCTCTACAGAGAGGGTGTCCTGCGGACCTCTTCCGAACCATATAACAGTGCTAATTTCCAGGACAAAACCTGCCACTTGACCAATCACTGCATTCAGAAGGAATATTCCAAAAACTACGGGCGCTATGAGGAAGGGAATGAAATGTTCTTTGAGGAGTTTAACCAGTATCTGACGGATGCCCTGAACACAACGCTTGAGAATAGCATCTTACTGCAAATCAAACACATAATAAGGTAGCCAGCTGTTTGTTGCATAGGGAACATAACCCTTCAGTGACAGGGAATGTGTATGGACCCAGCTGGGGAAGCAAGACAGACTGACAAGGGAAGGGTTTCAGTTGCATAAATTTAAGATAAAGCCATAAACCCCCCCAATGTCATTGCTCAATGAAAAGGGACCTCCATAGGTGCTGTTGTCTCAAGGTGATGTGTCAGTGTGTCTGCAGTTTGGCAGCTGTGGCTGGAGAAGGATGGAGTGAGATCACTGGATTAGGGAAGAGAGTAGTTTGAAAGACAGGGCTGGGAGGGATTGAGGTTGAAAAAGTTATAAGGTGTAAGAGGGGAAATGAAGTTGAACTCAAGTCTGCAAGATCTCACTGCTTCCCCCCACCATCAGCAAGCAGCAGCACATCTCATTGGCACAGGTCATCCTACTCAGTTCACACACAGCCAGCTGCCTCCTGGGCCCAGAAAGCACCCGGAGAGAGATCTCAGAGATCACAATGCCACAGAGAATCCAGGTCTTGACAAAGCCATACTTTGTGGCAGATTTACCTTGCAAGTACCCCATTGCTGTTACTTATGTCAAAAAGATGACATGATCTTTGAGGGACTTGGAGGCAAATGAGCTCTTGATGGCAGTTCGTCAGGACCTGGCACAGCCCTTTGTAGCTCTGCCTTTTGCTCCAGGTTCTAATTGCATGTCATGTTTTCCAATGTGCCTAAACCAGTAGTGAGGGTGGATGCTGCTCCCTGGCTCTTTGGGAGTTAACTCAGGGGTGTCCCTGCATGTGTTTTGATGGCTGCACAATCTCACTTGCAGGGACCTTGTTACTGTGACATGTGTTGGATGTAGCTTGTAATGTGGGGCAGTCTCAGGGCAACAGGGGACCCCTCCACTTAACTGTGCTATGCACGTGCCCTCAGAAGCTGCAGCGCATGTCACCCTGTGTGTCCGCAGGGCTTTTAATCTTGGGTTTCTGTTTTTCCCTTCACAGAAGCTGCCTTATGTGTATAGAGCCTGCAATCAGCACGAAGCATCTTCACTACCAGAGCTTCCAGCTCTTTGGCTTTGACTTCATGGTGGACAAGGAGCTGAAGGTCTGGCTGATAGAAGTCAATGGGGCCCCAGCATGTGCCCAGTAAGTAAGCAGTTTCTGCCATACCCTTGTGATGCCACCATTCACACCCCTCACCCAAAACATGGCTTTGTCCCAGTTCCAGGTGAAAAAGGAAGTGAATGGCAGGGGAGTTTTCCAGGCTAACCCATACTGGACACCGCTCTAAGTGCCAGTTGATTTTAAGAGTGCTCCTGTCTCTGTGTTAGGTATCCCTCAGCTTCTTTTTCCCATGTGAGATGGGGCACTAACCCGAGTTCGTGAACAAATGGGTTTGAATGTAACTTGAGTCATTTTTATTGACACTGGGGGGTTGAAGTTATGTTGCAGGGGCTATATCACAGGGGCCAGTTATGTTGCAGGGGCCATATCACACAGTTCCCATGTAAGAGCCAAAGTTGGCTGCTGAAAGCAGTAACATTCCCAGGAGCTGAAAAAGCCTCTCACTGTCACATAGCCCCAAAAGTTATGTTGTTATGTAACACTTTGGGGGTCGTGCTGTTTCTTAGTCTCTTGTGGAGCCACTAGTGGCTGGTCTTTACCTGAACGCATGATAAATGAGTAGCATTATGGGCAGCAGCTGGAAGTGAGTGACTGAATCTGCAGGCAGCAGGACCCCAGAGCACACTGTGGATTCTGCAGACATTGGGTCTGAGCCTCCACCAGCCACAGTGAGGCTGGGACAGCCCAACAGCTGCAGCCACAAACATCTCTGCACAGGTGCAGCAGGAGGAGCTGTATGATGTGGTGGAGACAACTGTGGGAGACTAGAAATCTTTGCTAAACAGGCATCTGTATTGGGTTGGATTGGATATTAATATTTTAGGTTGGATATGAGGAAGAATTTCTTTACAGAAAGGGCTCTCAGGCATTGGAAGGGGTTGCCCAGGGCAGTGGCGGAGTCCCCATCCCTGGAGGGATTGAAGAGTTGTGTAGACATAGCGCTGAGGGACATGGTTTAGTGGTGGTCTTGTCAGTGTGAGGTTAATGATTGGACTCGATGATCTTAGAGGTCTTTTCCAATTGAGGCCATTCTGTGAGTCTGTGTGATATTCAAGCCCAGGAAAACAGAACAGGCTGTACATCGCTACATTAGAATTTTATTAGATTAGATGCAGAGTAGAGTAGATTAGATTAGATGTAGATTAAATTAGATTAGATCATCCCTAACGGTAGACAGAAAATACAGGTCAGACCTACCAGACAGCCTGTTCAGGAGCCTTTTCAGGGCTGGGGCTTGGGGAGCTTTCTGTGTCCAGGGTGCCCTGTTCTCCATGCGTACCATGGTGCAATACTGCCTCGCACCTCCTGTCGCTGAGTAGAACCTGTCTCTTGCTGGGTGGGTTTGGGTTACAGCAATGCCCTGTTTGCTTTGTGCCTCTGTGGGCACTTGGAAGCCATCAAAAGCAGCTGAGGTAGGTTTGGGCTCTTTGTGGTTTCTCCTCATCAGAGTTATTCTAATTTATAGCACCCATATCACACAGTTCCCATGTAAGAGCCAAAGTTGGCTGCTGAAAGCAGTAACATTCCCAGGAGCTGAAAAAGCCTCTCACTGTCACATAGCCCCAAAAGCACAGCATGAAAGACATTGTTCATCCTCGTAAAGACGACTTTAGTGCTAAAAATGTCCTAGATGCCAGCAGGTTACACATGTATTTCCTTTAGCAGAAAGTGAAGCTAGTGTTAGCTTATTTCTCAAACACCTTGTCTCTCTTCACTGTAATCATACTCCACATGAGCTGTGCCACGATGAATCACGTCCATCACTCCCAGAGGGTCCTATGAAGTCTCTGTGCCTGGCCACAAGCTGATGTGCACAGCTGCATCCCAGCACAGCATTTCATCCATCCTCTGGAGCATGTCCCCACATGAACAGGGTCTGGTGTGATCATCACAACTACCCAGGTTGGAAGGCAGGTACAGGGGGTGCTCAGCTGTTATGTGCCTCGGTGGCAACTCAAGTCTGGGGCCTGAGGGTGTGGAGGCTCTGCTCAGGAGCCTGTTCTGACAGTAAACATAGATTAAGAGTCCAGAGAAGGCCATGAGGATGATCCGAGGGCTGGAGCACCTCTCCTATGAGGACAGGCTGAGAGAGTTGGGGCTGTTCAGCCTGGAGAAGAGAAGGCTCCAGGGAGATCTTATAGCGGCCTTCCAGTACCTGAAGGGGCTACAGGAAGGCTGGGGAGGGACTTTTCACAAGGGCAGGTAGTGACAGAACAAGAGGTAATGGCTATAAACCGGAAGAGGGCAGGTTTAGATGAGATATTAGGAAGAAATTATTTCCTGTGAGGGTGGTGAGACACTGGAACAGGTTGCCCAGAGAAGCTGTGGTTGCTCCTCTCTGGAAGTGTTCAGGGCCAGGTTGGATGAGGCTTTGAGCAGCCAGGTCTAGTGGAAGGTGTCCCTGCTGATGGCAGGGGGGTTGGAACTAGATGATCTTTAAGATCCCTTCCAACCTAAACCATTCTATGATAATGGGCTTTGTGGCCCCATCTGGCAGAGATCAATATTGGGAATGGGAGTGACATTGAAGAAGACAGTTGCTGGCATAGGTGGGGAGGAGATGGAGAAGATGCCACCCTCCTCCCATTTGTCACCCTGGAGCTACCTGTAGTAGGAGCAGGATCTTGTTGATCCTACTGGGAAAATGCATGTCTATGTAAAAATTGGTCAGGGGCTGATGGTTTGTCCAGCCTGGGCATCTGATTCTCCCTCTCTCTCTCTCATCTTTCAGGAAGCTGTATGCAGAGCTCTGCCAAGGAATCGTGGATGTAGCCATCTCTAGCGTTTTCCCCCTCAATGACACTGGACAGAAGACGAGCCAGCCATCATC